TTATGAATGTAAATACCGCGAGATCTCGCCAATTACGAGATCTCGCGAGATTGGCACTTTTGTGTGTTTTACTGTAATATTTATTCAAATCACAATATTTGAATAAATTAGGAAAAGTATAGGAATTATGAAAAAACATTTATTTTTACGGGTATTTTCAATAAAGTTTTATGTATTTAACATTGTTTTACAAAGAGCAATTACTGTATTATATTCTCTGAAACGGCTCCAACAATTTTCATGACATTAAGTATGCAGGGGCTTCCAGAAGCGATAAATCGATTTAGCTAGGTTTAATTTTTTTATTTTATAAAAATGCCGAGTAAAGCTTATTCATTCAGGTACTCAGTATTTAAGATCTAATCGACTACGAAATGAAATAAACAACCCGTCTTCTTTGCTTATATCAAACAAAGGTTTAATTATAATATACAGATTTTTATAACAAATATACAAAAACTAAAACTTAACTCATTACTAAGTCGAATTGACTATTAAACTGATTATATTATATAAACTATTATTATCAATGAAAGAAAACTATGGGTATCCAGAGATCTATTAGAAATTAGAGAATAAATTAACAAAATATAGCAATCAATTTCAAGGCATATTCGATTCACTTCACGCGTCATTATTACGAATAATTCTGAAAGAAGCTTCTTAAGAAGCACAAAGTGTATAAACACAAGTACTTTCCCTTTCGATAACACAAGTACTGTGAAAGTGTAAAATTTCGCCTTTTAACCCCCCGGACTCGTATAAACTCACACTGCCGCACATATAATAAATTGTTTTTATGCTCGAGTGCAGTCTCGTTAAACTCGCGAAATCTCGTTCATTTTTCGACCGAGATCAGTCTCGCTAAAAAAGGCCGAAATCTCGCGTGAACGAGATTGCATTCCCTAGTCACGAGTTCATAATTATAGAATAGTACGCCGGCTCGAGCCCCGAGCAAACGTCAGAAATGGTGGTGAAAATTTGAGGATAAGGTTTGTTGAAAAACTTCAGGTGGTTTGTTGAAAAATTTTTAAAATTTAATTACCAACGTCGAGTGATCTGTTGAGTGTTTAGAAAAATTGAGATCGAAAAGGATTATTCAAAACGTGGCATTCGTGAAACGCCAATATTTATAAACCGCCTTTTTATTTCACTGCTGTTTTTGGATCAGTTGGAAACGAATATAAAATCTTTCAAATTTTATCAATAATACACAATGGAAAGCACCCAATAAAGCGAAACATCAGCTTTTTTAATAGAAAAGTTGTTTAGTTCCTATCTATAATATATAAAATTTATTATTTTATAACAGTATAGAGTCAGGGCAGTCTTAAGAACAACAGGCGCCCGAGTGCAAGTAGTGCGCTGGCGCCCCAGCCCAATTTTTACTCATATTTATATATGACCCGCGTTGTATTGCACCCCATGAATCATTGGTAAAGACGGGCCTGTATAGAATATAAATTCTTTATATTTAATTATATACAAATAAAATATTATTCAGACTGACAGATCAAACATAAACGCTAATTTTAGGACATTTCCTTGAATGGTGAAGAAGAATGGACTATGACCCTCCACGCTGGCCCAATCAGGATTGGAGGATATTAACGACTGCAAATGCAGCAGGGACCAATGGCTTAACATACCTTCCTTAACGGAAAAAGGGGAAATAAATTCTACACCCACGGCAACATTCGAGTCGTTTTTATGAGTTTTGGATTTTAATGTGATTTAGAATGAAATACGCCAGCAAATTACTCCCATAATTATGAAAATTAATTTTCAAATTGACCATACAAAGTTCAATGGGGCTGCTATTAGCTCTCGCTCAGCGTACGTTATTTTACTATATTCAAACGCAAAGCATATTGGCGCAAAGAAATTCTCTTTTCGAAACTAAATGCACTCAAACGTATGTCAACTCTTACTTCAGATCTTGGAATTTGCTGAAAATCGATTACTAATCCGGCCGTGATAAGTACTAATACAAATACTTTTACTTACGGGAAGCTACATCATACACGCGGATGACATACGCTATAATTTCTATAAAATATTAGTGTACATGATAGCAATGCCGTAAATAGATAAGTACCTAACTATATTCATATGTTAATGATCTTGAAAGTTTATAACAACAAAAAATAAACGAAACAATCACATTACATTGCTCAGATCTCAAATTAGTAGATTTTTCTATACTAATGTTATAAAGAGGAACGATTTCTTCTCCTAGGTACGGGTAGCTACATCATACAGGGTTGACATAGACATAATTTACGCGTGCGAAGTCACGGGAAAACAGCTAGTACCTCGTGTGTTCATAAGTTTTAAGACAAACTTTTTACTGAAAAAATAAAATTAAATCGATCGATTTTGAATTTGGAATGTTAACTTTTAGTTTATTTGTATCGCATATTCATTTGTTTATATTTGTTTATGATGCAGGTAACGAAACAATTACGTGCAACTGTCATTTCACTATTTAAGGCGGGAAAAAAACCGATGCAGATTTTCCGCGGGCTGAAAAGTTTTCCTGTAACCGTAAGTTCGTTAATTACACAATATAGCGAGACAAGTTTTCTGCACGATCACCAAAGGAGGTCGGCCACGCTCTGTGAGGACGCCTGCGAACATCAAAATCATCCGAAAGCGACTTCGCCGAAATCCATTTCGCAACAGAATACTGAAAATTGATCTTAAGGTAAAGGCCTATAGCCGTAGAAAGTTCACTTTTTAAACGATTGTCTTTGTAAGTTACGACGCGAACGTTGTCCATTGCTGCTGAGGAGACATGATGCCAGGAAGATAGCAAGGATGTCCCAGCATCTGCACGGAATGTCTCGCGCACTCACCATACGTCTCGTGAGATGGTATGGTAAGGGAATTTCGTATGGTGTCACTCCGCTCCATTTCTGCCAACAAGGTGTCAAGGTGAAAGCCAAGAATTATCAGAGTGACATTTTAGAGCCCGTCTTGAACCCCTGTCTGATACGTTATTTGACAATAAGATTGGGTTTTTCAGCAAGACTCGGCGCCATCCCATAAGGCAAAAAGCACCCAAGCTTGGTTGAGGGAGAATGTGTCGGCCTTCATCGCGACGGACGTGTGGCCCTCCTCCAGCCCCGACCTCAACCCGCTGGATTATGCTTTATGAATCTAATTAGAGCTCAGAACCTGCCAAGAGTCCCACCCAAACTTGGAGTCACTGAAGCGAACCCTTGTTCAAGAAGCAAAGCGAATTTCGCTAGAAAAGATTCGTGCCGCCATTGATGACTGGCCTAATTGTCTAAGGACCTGTATTAAAAACAAGGGCGGTCATTTTTAAAAAAATATCTGTTTTATTGTTGAGTATTATCTATTTAAGCGTTACTGAAAATTTTAGAAATATAAATTAATAATTAAAAAAGTTACACAATTTTTGTTTCATCTCAAAACTTATGAACACACGATGAACAATATCATCAATAAAAATATTTTTAAAATATATTTTAGTCATGATCATTAAATGACAATACTCCAAACTCCAAAGAACACCGAAAGCATCATTATTCAAAACTCATCTGCCTACTTATTCCATAATATTTCGTCTTTTAAAACTAACAACGTTAGGTGACATACTGTGTTCTGTGGTGACATATCAATTAATCAACTCAAAATATATATTCGATAACGCTAATTATAAATAGGTGTTAGGTAACTGGTTTGGACACAATCAGACGCACAGGCAAAAACAACACCGAACTAACTGAACCAAAGCGATCGAAGACAAAGATGACACCATCGCCTAGACCAGAAGTTCAATTTAAAACAATTTTTTTCTCGTAGACCATTTAAAAAAAAATATTGGTTTCGGTGGACCCCCTGCTGCTATATTTTTACCATATTCCCAAATTTCGTCTAAAATGTAAAAATCTAACGATGGAATTAGATTTATTTCACGCCACCCCAGTAGAATCCCTCGTGGACCCCTGGACATCTGGACCATTTAGGAAATCACTGGCCTAGACTAATAGGTATTGTCTACAGCTATTAATGAGAAGGGATCAAGACAGACTGCAGTTTCTTAGAATAGTTTGGATTTTGAAGCTATAATCGGTCTAAAGTTATAAGGAGCTTCCACGACTTCAAAGCAACAAGGTCAGTTGCTTTGAAGTCGAGGATGCTCCCGGGCCAAACTGAAATATCCGAGCTGCAAACATATTGAGCACTGGCCTACACTTATAGGTATTGTGTACAGCTATTAATGAGAAGGGATCGAAACAGACTGCAGTTTCTTGGAATAGTTTGGATTTTGAAGCTATAATCGGTCTGAAGTTATAGGGATCTTCCACGACTTCAAAGCAACAAGGTCAGTTGCTTTGAAGTCGAGGATGCTCCCGGGCCAAACTGAAATATCCGAGCTGCAAACATATTGAGCACTGGCCTACACTAATAGGTATTGTGTACAGCTATTAATGAGAAGGGATCGAAACAGACTGCAGTTTCTTGGAATAGTTTGGATTTTGAAGCTATAATCGGTCTGAAGTTATAAGGAGCTTCCACGGCTTCAAAGCAACAAGGTCAGTTGCTTTGAAGTCGAGGATGCTCCCGGGCCAAACTGAAATATCCGAGCTGTAAACATATTGAGAAACCCCAATATCTCACACAAAAGCTACCTATTATGTACCACAGGTATGTACGCTCAAAAACTGACTCGTGATTTAAAATTCGCAAATGCTCAAGCTAAAATTTGGGTCTCTGCAGATAATTGGATGGTTTGAACACATGTCTGGCATGAGTTTAAGTATAAGGCTGCATGGGCAACTGGTCTTTGTCTCAAAAGGAAAAAATCAATTGTCAATATCAGCCTATAGTGATGTAGCAATAGACTTGCTCTTACATCCAATAGGTTGTTGTTATTCTCTATCTTTCTCACTGATTGGTTCCAAACTCATGTCAATGTCACTAAATTGTCGAGTTTGACGCATGTTTGACGTTTGATGAAATTTCAATTTGACAGGACAGATTTCTTTCTTGCGGAAGAGAGAATTTTTAATCAGTCGTAATTAAATATTATGTTTATTTAATTCATTATTTTCAATTTTGTATTTTCCACTGCCATTCAAAAAAGTTAAAACATTATAGACATCTATCTGGTGAGAACTTTCTTCTTGATCAGTAAGTAACTTCGTATTTGTAATGTGTCATACAGTTCAACATAATAACAGGACAGGAACAAGTTCAAATAGAATTATTGTTGTCAATTATAACACGTGATCCAAGGCCAGTATTTAAACTACCTGATAAATAATCAAATTAACTCATGAGCGATATCCGCAGTCAGTCACAAATTGGTATACCACTTCTGTCTGTCCGTTGTTTTTCTGTTACTGAATCTTTGTTATTACTCATATAAAACAATGGGCATCTTTGACCCAATATCATAACATCAGAGATAAGTGTAGTCAAGCCATAAACTATGAATAATGGAGTAACTACCCTAATATGAGGGCTCCTTTTTATTATTTTATCTATGTTTTGTACTTTGTATTTCTCTCAGATAGTTCATTGGTTACTTATTCTTATGTTATATTGTTTTTTATCTAAATATAAAATAATTAGCAATAAAATACTATAACTTAACAGGTCAAATGAGGCAGTTTACTCATCAACCTATAGAATACTCTTGTAGGCTTACATGAGATATAAAAAGCCACCTTGTATATATGAGTCAAGCGACAGAGTGATGCAGTAATAGCCTACAATGTTCTCACTCATATCCAAATTGCTTGGACTGTTGGCAGTGGTAAATGGGAATATAGTAGTCTACACACCGGACACACCACATTTGGTATGTAATCCTAGTATTACCTAATATTATAAAAAGGAAAAATTTGTTTGTTTTTAATGAATAACCCAAAAACAAAGCTACTTGTTTAAAAAATCTTTCAATTGTTGAAAGATTTTTTATAAAGCTGCATTATCAGCAACATAGGCTATATTTTATTATATAAAAAAAAAAAAAAACAAATTAATGGGAAATTCTAGTTTTTATTAAAAGATAACTGGTAGATGTCAGTTCTATTGTGAAGTATAAACAATCTCAAATTAGGTCATCTGTATAGACTAAATCACTTCATAGGAATTATGCATATTCTGGGTGAATTAATAGATATCTTGTAATTACAAACAGCAACAAAAGTGACTTTACCACACAGCAGCACTCATTTCGCACTAAACACTGGGGATATAACAAATTAAATAAAATTCTAAAAATCAAAAATTAATAGTATTGTTATTGTTAAAAAAAGAATGATTGTTGGTTTGTCAGTCTGAAAGACTAACAAGTGAGTATAAAAAGGTTGAGGTTAGGTATATATTAAGAAGTTCTAAGACAGACACAACTAAAATATCTATTTTGGAAATTGCAATTGTCATGAATATTGATCAAAAGCAAATAAATATAATGAAGTTTTTGACTAAGCAACAAGGTGGTGGTCTGATATAATGACACCTTGAAGAGGATGTGCAAGCCTCCGTTTATGGACATTCTTAAAATTTACATAGTTTACACATACAACTAGTGATGCAACCTACTCTTATGCAATTTAGAGTTGCCAAATGAAAATGTCATTGCTTATTCATCTGCCATCATCATTTGCCAAAGATGGATAGTATGAAATAGATCAAAATTAAAAAAAATATTACACAAGTTATTAACACGTTTTGTATATAACTGCCTTTTGCTTTGATTGACTTTGGGCAGCATTTTCAAAAATGCTAGAACTAATATTTATTAATTATATTGTGTAAAAATACTTATACAATGGCGAACTTCCATACAAACTTTGAGTCCTTATTTCAATCCTTTACCACAATATAAAGTTACTTATATCCTATCACAACACCATTTTACACATACTTACTTTTGCATGTATAATATTATTATGAAATAATCAAACAATTCTCCATGATGCTCATTACATCATATAATAAGATATAACCAGGTATATAAATAGACTAATAACGATACAATTCACGATTGCTTGGTTGACTCCTAAACTTCTTTTTTTCAAGTTAAAATTGAGTAGATTTTCTGTGAACTAATGAAAACCATTGAGGTTAATTTATAATGTTGTTCTTTTACTTAACAATTAGGTTAATTTACAATTAGCAGGATAGCTCTATAATAGAATAGCGCCATTCATTAATTACGAAGCCCAGTGAGCTGCTTAATTATCAAGGAAAAATATCTGCATTATTAGAACAAAATTACCTTTATAACTTAATAATAAAAATGAATAAATACACAACAACTTTGAAGATACTACAACAAAAAACTCTATTTATTTATTTTAAATGTAATTACATGTTTAAATATGGTAATATTTAATAGGGCTTACATGATAACCATTAACTAGTAGACACAATATTTTTCAAAATTATTTCAAGCAATTTGTTAATTTAAAATAGTATCTGATAAAATAAATTAAGAAGGAACTGGAAAATAATAAAGCATAAATTACACATGTACACATGGCTGCACGTCAGATTATATTGTAGACTTGTACCGACCGCGCTTCGTATAGAACTTCGCTATTAACAAAGATCTGCTCACGGTGGTGGTGTGTAGCGTGATGTGCGGCCGTGCGTACACAGACAAATGTCCAATATGTACTACTACTTTAAAGCTGAATAAAAGTATTAGATTAACAATATACAATTTCCGAATTGATAGTAGGTTAGTTAGTCGATAAAGGCTTTCAGTAGAAAAACGCCGGCTCTTGAAATATATGATCTTCAGAGTAAATTTGTAGAAAACCAATACATCAACGCCTTTTTAAAAAGTCAACAGAGACAGAGAGTGAATGATCTATGAGAAGCCCCATAACTGAGGCTCAAGATATAATGCCCGAAAAGAAAAATAGGAGAACTTTGTATCTACAAAAAGATATGAGATACTTTACCGGTTTACGGCAGATCTTCTGCCGTAAATCGGTTTAGATGTTTACTCAAGGGCGTTCCCGTCAGTCCTAATTGACTTCGTTTACATTGAATTCATAACTTTTTACGGCAAAAGAATTGCGTTGTGAGACTTGTGCATTTTTGTACGTGTTATGTTTATAATGGGATACCAATTTTCATCACTAAATATGGAAATCTTTATAAATATATTTGATAGATTTATTACTACGACAAATCCAATAGTAAACAATGGTTGCTATGGTAACATTTTGATTCCCCATAAAAGTTCCACTCCCATTTTCATTTCTTTATGCACTGGTCTTCGGGATAAAATGTAACGTATTATCTTCCTAGGGTCTAAAACTACTCAAATACCAAATTATCATCGATATAGATGCAACAATCCGTTCATGCACCTCTTCGTAATAAAAACAATGTACCTGCAAATTTCAAGTCTCTACGACCAGCGGTTCAGGCTGTGCGTTGTCTGTCAATCAGTATATCAGGACAACTCTTATATATGTATAGATAACAGTGGAACCAAGTATTAAAACCAATGGTCATCAAATTTTTTTTTATTTTACAGTTGTGTAACTGATGTTTTATAGATAGCATATTGTCAAATATCTTCAAACAATTTTAAGCCTTGATAATTATAGAGTTAAGTTCTAATTTTATTATAGATATTTGGTCTTATATAGTAACGTGACACATATGTTATTATAAAAGTAAAAATATTAATATAGAAAATAGATCAAGGCTGCAAGCAGCACACTGCTGTGTATACAACAATAATGTAGACCGTCACATAACATGCATTGCTGTGCTCAAGCTGAAGAGTTGTGTTAAATAAATAGGTATTAATGATTGCCAGAATTAGACCAAATTTAAATAACTTGATCGTAAACCACTTCTAATTTTGCAAGTTATGACACCAGTCGTGTGTACCCAACATTAAAACAAGATATGTAGTTCATTCCACAAAAGATATTCAACAGTTGGTTTACAAATAAGATTATATACAAAATGAACTCGGGCATTGACAGTTTTGAAAGGTGTTAAAAAGTGCAGCTTGCAATTTTCTAATATAAAATAATAACTTCCTGTGTTCCTGTACACTGTCAGACGTGAATCATCCTTTAAATGTGTTTCTGTGCACACAATCTCTTAAATCTGCCATTGACATCATCACCGATCATTACATATTTATTATCAGTAATAGCTTAACAAAAATCATTTTTCACTCTATACATATTTATGTTCAGTGCTATTTATAGCTGTTTGTTGCACATGTTAATTAGTTAGTATATGATAAGCCTTCATTGACATAGTAATGAACTATAACTCATGTTATGTTTTGAATAGTAATAATAATTATGATTAGTGAAAATAAAAGACAAATTAGTTTGACCTTCTTTCTGGTTTCCATATGTTTATTAAAATTAATTAAGAACTAAGAGTTGTCCGCAGCAAAGAAACATACACTCCGACAGCTTAATTACACAAAAACGCTAAACTGTAGTTACTGTAGCCATTGTCAATCTATTCATCATTCATGCCTTATTCAGCCTTCAGGTAGCTTTTATATGAAAAGAATTATTTCACACCGACACGATGCGAAGGCAACTGCCGCCTTGTGACCGCGGAGTTTAGACGAGGCATAAATTTAGTATAAAACCGCCACGCAAGTAAACGATTCTGTTATCGAAAAGAATTGAATTGCCGAAAGAAAATGTGTTATCGGTCCATATGTGCTCCCGTGACGGGACGACAGAGATATGTGGGGTTGTCATCCATTAACAGACCGACTGAGCTAGTTAAAGACCAGTATAGTCAATAGAGTTCAAATTTGATATTAGCAAACACAAAGTTTGTAGCCTCATTTAAACGCGCATGTGGCGATCTCATTAATATTTTTCGATTCGAACGCGCCCATTTCTATAGTGACGAAAATTTTGAACATTGTTGCATAATCAATAGAGATTAAATGTACTATAGTTGGACTCATGTACGCGGATAGGAAGCGGTCACAGAGTCTTCGTGCGTGTGCACTGTGCAGTATAGGGGTGCCAGATAGCGAGATTAAAATATCTGGACAAAATTTGAAAAAGTCGGGGTTTTGGGATCACAGTCGTGACAAAAAAATACTAATAAGAAACCCACTTTTTATGAATTAAATTTTAAAATAATAACAATTATCTACTTTTTTTATAATTTTATAAGATTACATAATAATAGTATAACACTTAAATTGTTAATACACCTACTTATTAGATTTTAAAGAATCTAACAAATTTCTCGGGACATATTTGTTTTTCGGGACTCTGGACATCATACGAAATGTCTGAACAATCAGCAACCATCTGGCAACCCTAGTGCAGTCGCATAGCGGTCGTTATCTTTTACATTAGACGTTATATCTACTAGTCTTCTACAAAACCTAATAAGCACTTTATATTATTTTTTAATAAATTTCATATTTTCAATGCTATACTGAAAAAAAATTCTTAATGAGAAATGCTTAAAAAATACACTTGGTCCCTGACACCCTGAGATGGGATTTTTAAAAGGATTTTTCATTAAAAATATTTTTCAGTATAGCATTGTGAATACGAAATTGATGAAATATAAAAAAAAAATTGTATTGACGTCATATCTAAAGTTATACAGAGGCAAAAATTATGTAAAGAAATTTTGTAGTAGACTTTTTTTTTGTTTTTATAGTTTTATTTCCATTACTGTATACTCAATGATCACTTAATTATACCAATGATGACATACCACAAACAAAGAAATAATCCCGAGGTGATTTCAGTATATCATCCATTGGACTAAAGTTCAGTAGGGCAATTCCACTAATGTTTACATAATAATCGCGTCTCAATA